GGCCGCGCGCGGGCGGTGGCTGCCTGCCGGGAGGTGGAGGCCGCGGCCGCCATGGGCGCCCCTGTGAGGCGGGGCTGAGCCCCCGGGCCCCCTTTCCTTGCCCCCTCAGCGGCGTGAGAGCGCTGGGGCCTGCCCAGGCCTCCCCCGCCCGGTGCGAGTGACTGAGCGCGGCAGCTTCCTCCGCGGCCGGCGTGCGGGGCCTGCCCCCCTCGCCCTACCTCGCCTCCCGGCCCCTTCTCTTCCCCTCCCCGCCGGCCCTCGCTCCGGGGGGCACCCGGACCTGCTCCGCTTTCTCTCCATCGCCGGGGAATAATTGCAGCGCGCTCCCCTCGCCTTAAAGCAGCCGGGCGAGGCACCGGCTTCTCCCCAGTCGGGGGCCTGCCTCGGGGCGCTTCCCTCCCCGGCCGGGCCCGGTGCTCGGGTTTTTCCGCCCCTCGCCCTCCCCATCCCCGCGCCCCGTCTCCGCTCCTGGTGCTCCATGTCGGCCCCGCTGCCCGGCTCCTTGCTGCAGTATGGATGCAGACACTGACCGGGGACCCACCCCGCCGGCCCAGCCTCCCCAGCAGCCGCCTCCCAGCTCCGCCGTAAGGAGCCCCTGGGACCCTCCTCTGTTGCAGCTGCAACGGCAGCCGCGGACAGGCGCGCTCCCCGCTCAGTGACCGGCCCCTTCCCTCGCCTCACCCCCCGCCGCCGCCGCCTCGCCCTAGCAGCGCTCCCCCGGGGCATGATGTCGGGGGGCGCCGCAGACAGCGGCACCCCGGCCCCTCGCTTCCTGGCTCCTCCGCCGCCGCCGCCCAAGAACGGTTCCAGCTCGGACAGCTCCATCGGGGAGAAGCTGGGAGCCGCCGCCGACCACGGAGCCTCCGGGACCGGTGGAGCAGGCGGCGGAGCAGGGAGCGGAGGCCGTAGCGAGGAGTACCGGCGCCGCCGCCACACCATGGACAAGGACAGCCGAGGGGCGGCAGCCACAGAGCACCGCTTCTTCCGCCGTAGCGTGATCTGCGACTCCAACGCTACGGCCTTGGAGCTACCCAGTCTGCAGCCCGCAGCGCCCTCGGCCCCTGTCTCGGGAGGCAGCGCTGCTCCGCTGGTCTCTCCTCCCGAGTGTGTCAGCCGGACCTCTTGCATCGCTGTCAGCGCCGCCCAGGCTCCGTCGCTGCTGCAGCAGCCGCCGCCGCCTGCCCCACTTCCCCTCGAAGGACAGTCTGCTCAGGAGCCCCCTGCCGCGAAGGATGCCGCCCCGCTGCTGCCCAAGGAGGAGGAGGACGAGACAACCGCGCTACCCCCCACCAGTGCCACTGGCAGCGCGTCAACTGCCAGCCGGGAATTTGAGGAGCGGAGAACACAGCAGGAGGACATCGAAGAGCTTGAGACGAAGGCAGTGGGCATCTCCCCGGATGGCCGCTTCCTGAAGTTTGACATCGAGATTGGAAGAGGCTCTTTCAAAACTGTGTATAAAGGACTGGATACGGATACCACTGTGGAAGTCGCCTGGTGCGAGCTGCAGGTAAAGTAAATAAATAAAAATGGTGAATTACCAAAGCATAGTCACTCCCCCAGGTGCTAGGCTGTTGTGCCTGAAGGAGGTAAAATCCATCAACTCGAGGTCTGCTTTTTTCAGGCAGGGAACTGCAGACCTTACCTGAGGCACTCCTTTGGAAGAAAGGTGCAGCCTTTCCTTGGAGTCAGTTTGCCTTTTAATTCTTTTAAATACTCTGCTCTCTGAAGAATTTTTTAGCTTTATCATCAGGAAATGTACTACAGTTCTGTTTCTTGTAGTGTCTTGCATTTTATGCCTCCAAAAGGTAGCTTGGAGGATTGTAAGAATACTTGCACACAGCTTCTGGGAGGCTGAGGGAAAATGTGTAAGTGAATGCCAACTTGAACTAGCCTTAATTTTTCAAAATACGTTTATGTGTTTTTCTTAGGAGAAAAATACTGAAATTCATAGACATTTCATATGTTTGTGGCAGTGGATTCTTGTAGGAGATAACTAGAATATACATGAAGTCATGCAGTGCATCACATCGTTTAGTTTTTTGCAAAGCTGTTTTTGTAATTCTAAGTTGTAGGGTTCACACTTGACACAGGCACAAGTAAAGGAAGAAAGTAATTGTCTCCTTTCTGAAGCTTCAGAAACCCCCCCTGAAGTTTAACCTTTCCAAATGACTGGTGGATTAAACTGGACTAAGACACTACTCTTCTCCCAAGTTTCTAGCCTGAGCAGCGCCAGAGTTTTGTAGAAGCCCAGTCTAATGATGGCAAGAACACCCGTAGTTCCACACAAGTCGGAGCTTGTATAACCGAGGCGCAGGTTGCTGTGCAACAACATTAAAAGAAGTGGGAAGAGATTGGAGTACCAGGAGCAAATACCTGGTGTACTAGTTTGTTTTCAAAGCCTCAGCGTGAAATTAAAAGGGTAGTGCTTGTTTTTTAGTGTTGGGTTTTGGTGCAATTCGTAGAGGGGTTCATGTAGTATGGCTTTATTATTGTGTGTGTTCCCATCCAATTTCAGGCAGACAAAAGAGCATTGGGTCAACATCCCAGAAGTCTTTGTGGGGTTTTTAAGCAGTTAGCTGCTCACAAATGACTGATTGCAGTAACTGCACCAAAACTTTCTTTCCCTCAAAAAGAAATTTTACATCTATTTCAGTCAAACTGAGAGAATTTATTGAGATTTGTCGATTTGTATTCATATTTGGTTTTGGATGATTGCTCAAGCATTGTACCAGTACCTTGGTTCATTATGTTAGTGCCATTATTCAGTGTTTACTGACTGTGGAAGTAAGCTTCCTATTTTCTTTGTGACCCTTAAGCATGACCTGTTCCTCTGTGCTAGCTATGTACTTGCTGTGGTGGTCTTTTGAGCATTAATTTTAAATTAAAAAAGTGAAATGATCTAGTGTTGGGCTCTGCTTAAGCTTCTTATGTGCAGTTTGAACTGAGAGGAGATTAATAATCCACAAAATTATATGACTTTTATTTGAAATTTTAATCTTTGTGATTTTGGAGTTACTTGACTTTTAACCCCTGAAATATGTTTTAATCTTCACACTTTACTTACTGATCAGAAACTAATGTTAGCTTGGCATTAGACACTTTTCGCTAACATTGCCTCTGATGAAGTATCTTAATCGTCATCAGTACCATGTGGACAAACTGTCTAAAGCAGCACCTTCTTTGAATTAATTTAATAAAGAAGCTTATTTATAAAGGGCATGTTTCTGAGCTTTCAATTGATTGAAGAATTGAATGAGTAGTATTTAAAATGACATATTGCAAAAAGCATGAATGAAAATATTTCTAAGGGGGAAATATTTGATGTTTTGCTTGGAGGCTAGCTACGTTACATGAGTGCCTTGTGGGTTAAATTATTCTGAAGGCTGTAGTTTTCTTCTCATAAGGAGACTGCGTACAAAATGACAAGTTTGAAACAACAATATAAATTTTATAGTTGTTAAAAGTATTTGCTAAAGGAACTAGACTCTACAGCTAGTAGAATATTTTAAGATTAAGTCCTGTTTTATTGTTTGTGTCTAGAAATAAAAGGAGGAACTTGGTATTTATTGGTATCATGGCTACATCCTCTTCTTTCTCTAGGAAAATATAATTGTTGACAGGTTAGTAGTATTCGTTACGCATGATTTGTATCAAAATGCTATCTGGATGCACAAAGATGGACTGAAATGTAGATGTCATTGGTTTTCCAGAATGCCATGGTTTGAGGATTGGTGAACCTTCAAAGCATAATTATTTTATTAGGGAAACATGAATGATTTTCTTCCATGCTATATTACACTAACCATGACTAAGGGATGGTTACTTTTAACTGTCTTGAAATAATGTTCCTTAGCAATAGCAGAGCTTTTCTTCTCTGTATTCATGTTAGCAAGCATAGGTATCCTAGGTGTTCCACCTCTCTAGAGTCTTCTAAACAGTGCTACTGTAGTGCTGCTGGAATGAGGCTGCTTAGCATGATTACGCAAAGTTGTTCCTCTCATGGCTTATCCAGAGTTGATAAAGGTGTATCACAGTTTCTCATTGCAAATTGTGTAATAGAATGGGGCGAGAACAGTTCATACTTTTGCAGAGTCTTCGGGTGTATGTTCTTTTAAGGCTCTTCTAGCATACCTAGAATGCTTCAGTTTCTTTAAAATCTCTGCTGTTTGGAAGGAAGCTTTTTTTGCCGGCTGCTTTCAGCTCGGTTAAACTACAGTGTTTCAATATTGGAGCAAATTCTGTAGTAGGAGTCTTGTGGATCAAGGGCAACACAGAAGACTTTGTGATGGTGTCTGGCAGAATGACTTTTTAATGTTGTAGAAGGCAACTATACCTAATTTTTATGTATATGCTCTGTAGTGATAAAGTGTAAAATCCGAGAATATCAGTATGCTTCCTTTCAAAGGGAGTTTGGATGCTGCTTATCACATGCAGCTTGGGTTCCTAAGTTGCTGATGATACTATGAAGAATATTGCTCCATATCCTTAAGAAGGCTCTTCAACTGCCTTGTAATGCCCCTTATGCTTGATATACTGAACTATGGAGGAAGTAGAAGGAGAAAGAGCTGAAATTCTGTGGATGACCTAATGGTGTTCTTAGTATCTCCAGCAAGGGAGGTCCTGGCCAAGACTCTAGTTTTTCTTGATCTGTGGAAGATGGGAAGATTTGATTTGAAGGAATTGAGTGTTTCAAGGTTGCTTATAGATGTGTAACAAAATCCTAACAAAAGTGTGACTGATGGACTGTCCTAGTTTACTTTGTGGCCTGTCTATATGAAGCAAATTGTAACTTAACGTAGTTTAAATATTGGGTACAGGTATTTAAATGTGAAATATTTGCCCTGCTGTCAGCATAGTGGAGCTGTGAATAGCTCAGCAGCAACTGCTTGGGGCCAGTGCTCAGCTTCAATAACTGCAAGAAAATTGTTAGTGTAGTGTTAGTCTTCAAATACTTTTATTCCCATTGCATATATATTCATCTTGACTCTAGTTACTCTCAGTCAAGTGTGCCTCCTACTGTTGTCATTAGCACATCTCATAAATTGAGTGCAGTAGTAGTTAGGGTTACTGCTTTAATGGTTTTAAATAGGTCTAAGTTGGCAAAAGTGGTTACTGCTGCTGCTTTCTATTTTAATTTAAAAGAGCTTCCTGTACAATCATGTTACTGCTTAGTCCTTTTAAACTATATTTCTGAGCAGTGAGGCTTTTGTCACCGCTGTAGAGTTCAGGTAACATTGTGGCTAAAATGTGATGCCTTTTCCTGTTGCATTAAGTTTATCTATGTGAAGTAACGTTCTTATGCCGAAGGTAGCAAGAATCACATAGTTGACTGTAGAAGCCAAATCTCAGGGATAACGTGTCATCCTCAGAGTCCATGTTTCAGTTTGAGTTGGTTTTAAATCAAGACTGCCATTTAATTTCTGCTTTACAGAACAATACAGGCTGGTGCAGTCACTTGTTGGACTGCAAAATCTTGTATCTAAAATTATTGCTCTGGGTTCTGTCATTCAAATTAGTAACTTTTCAAATATGAAACTGTGCTTGATGATACAGAGGTCACTTGGGCTCTTTTGAACTGTGTGCTTGTCAGGCATTTGAAGACTTACCTTCTTTCATTTGGACAGTGTCTTCTCTTAAAGGAAGCATGATTTAGAAACTCATTAGAAAGATATTTGCATTAGTTGAAAACGCATTCCTGGTAAACTGCGTGCATTGGAGAACAGCACTGCTTGTCTGGTACGTGCTGTATCACTCCTGTCCTTTGTATTTCTTTGACAGAAAGGGTAGGTTGGTCAGTCAGCAGTTACAGTTCATGAACGCATCTTCTTGCTGATATGTCACTTTGCCATTCTTACTCTGGCTTCAATGCAATGTTAGTCAGGTTATTGTGCTTAACATGTGAGCTGCTGAAGGGGAAAAAGAGGTTATGGGCTGCCTGTAAGTGAGCTAGAGTTTCTGGGGGTAAGGAATGAGTTCGAGAGGTGAAAGTTGTGCAAGAAGAGTATGTTGTACTCATTACTACTTTGAGGGGAAGCTGAATGTGAATTTGGTTACCTTTAGTTATAAATCATCTGAGTAATAAATTGATGTAGGTTACGTGTGTGCAATTCTGTTGCAGACTGTTAACTATAGGCCAAGTGTCTATAGTATATAGGCTATACTCCAACTTAGAAATGGATTTTTCTTTACATAGGCAGTAGCAATGAAAAAACAGTTGAGAACAAACATAATGCTGTAACCAAATGCGAACCATGAGGTTCTGTAGTGCACTCTGGTAAAAATAATGCAACTGGTTGTCACTTTATTACAGGAAGTAGTGAAGTGCTAAATAATATTTCCATATGTCAGAATTTTTCTGAGTGTGACAATGTATAGAAGTTAACTTAAAACTCACAGTACAGGAAGTTGCTTGGATATGCTGTATATCTTCACTTCTAGTGACACTTCAGATTTAACTATACCTATCTCTATCTCGTAGACTTAAAGCTATATTTAATACTGATTTTT